TTCATTTGCTCAGAGCGGATATAACGTTACTCGAAAGAAGATCTGAACTTTTTATTTTAAATATCTATTCAACAGGTCGTAATATAGCTCTTATTATAACTGTTTTTTAGTTATATTGCATAATTAAGATATTATCATAATTTTATTAGTGGTGCAAAGTATACCCTAGAAGAGTCATACTTAGCACCACTTGATATTTTAATAATATTTGGCTACGAAATGCTTGCTGCTGCTTAGTAATCCATCTGATTTTAAATTTTGCACCATTTAAATGCAAAAAAATGTTGGTTGACCCAGGTTTTTAAATATAAACCTATCTACATTTATGAAAGAAGCCTAACGGGAAAGAACATTACTACATTTTAAATAAACAAACTTTATTATAAGTAAAATAGTGTATCCAATCCCACCACAATTTGTCGCATTCTGGAAATTTTCTTCTTAACGATTTTGACATGGCGTTGATCATCGCTTCATCATTTTCTATTGCTGTTATGACTCCAGGGTAAACATGATCTTCATAAACAAATAAAACGTACTCACCAATATTTTTTTAACATGATCTAATGCAGTTTTTAACTTTTTCGGCAATATTTGTTTCAAGAGAACCTGAGGCGAGTTTTTCATTAAATTCGCTTTCTCCTTCCATCTCTTGCAGCTCATTTATTTCATCATCTGATGAATCCCTACCTTGTGGAAAGTAGTCATCCAAAGCAATATCGTTCTCTGAATCATCTACGACTTTTGGCACAACAGTTTAATGAAGTGTGGAAGTGGAAGTAGATGATTCAGTTATATCTTCTAAACTAATTTCAGAATAGGCAATAATTTGTCCTCCTGGAACATTTATTTTCTTTTTCTTCCCACGTGTCTTAAACTGGAGGGCTTTCTTTCTTTTATCTTCTAAATATCGACTGAATGTGTTTTCGATATCTGACAAACTTGCTTTATTATTATTTATTATATGACTATCAGTTATCACACTATATTACTGAGTTGTTTTTAACCGCTCCAAAGCCAAAGCCTAACAATGAATGGGTTACCAAAGATCAGAGGCTGATTACTATCTGTACACAAAAGTTGTGGATGAAGAATGGACAGATTATGTATTTATTAATATATGTAGATGATATTGTAATAACAGGACCAGATTAGAACAGAATTGTGGTAAACAAGAAAATGTTAAGTAAAGAATTAGAAATTTAAGATAAAAGCATTAAAAATCTTTTTTGGATTGGGAATAGATTGTGATAAAGAAAATGGTATTTTAATTTTAAACCAAAGGAGATACTTAACAGGAATACTTCAAAATTCAATTTTGAAAATTGTACAGAATCTTTTGCACATAATTAAGGAAAGTATTAAGAGAGGGTGTAAAGTATAATACTTCTCTTAATCCTTTTTGTAATGTTCTGTGTCATTGAGTGAATCAGAATGATAGATAATTAGAAATAGAGGTGAAGATGTATAGGTTATGATGCTGAAGCACATGATAAAATATGCAATCTCTAAGTAGTATGTATTGATATTAAATATAAAATAAGCTAAAGAACAAAGAGTTTGGGAGTTTTAATTTACAATCAGACAACAAAAACATTCTAATTTTTCAATATTTTCAGGCAATGACTTGTCAATAAACAAATTAGGCTTTTTAGATGACCGACACCGAATATTATGTGTATTAAAATGTTCATAGACGTAAAACAACATTTTTAGATGAAATTTTTAGCTCTTCGAGACAAAAAAAACGTAACCTAGTCTACAGTTAAATTAGTGGAGGCACTTTGTCCAGATCGTTACTCTCTTTAAGCACTATGACCCTATTAATTAACGGAAAATTTTCCGCAATTATCTCGACTAGTAAATAACCAATCAATTCTGGCTCGAGTGCCTGAATCTATTAATGAGGATTTAATACACAGCAACAACAGAGAGGGAGAGACAAAAGAGCAACGCCATTAGGTAAAAATTTTCCGTGTTTTAACATTAAGTGATCGTAAATCTATCGAAAATCCTATAATCCGAAGAGAGTGAAACCGCGACGCTGTCGAATCGACGGCGCCGGGATGCCTGCCTATACGAAAATAGACGCTTCTGGTTTCGGGCTGGAATGGAATTCCTCTGGAAATGATTGCGACGTTGTCACACCATTTTTGAAATGAACAGTTAGTAACTGAAATATGCAGTTTTGTTTTTATGATGTAGAAAATCAGTATCTTAAATTTTTGGTACTATACTTTGTCTTTTATTAACTAGACCATCAAAGACAATTGATAATATGTACAGTTGATATGTACAATTTTGTTGTCAGGCCATGGAGTTGGGATGTCTACATTGTAAAATGGCGTGTACCCTATCCTTGATGCTATAACATGCTGGACGAAGTATACAGCCTGTAGTCAACATCCCGAAATATGAGTAGGAACACAAAGTTCAGCAATACTCATACTCTTCAGAAGGGCCTTCACATTTTACTTTTTCTGAACTAGTCTTGAGTGAAATGTCTTTAATCTTTTCTATCAGCCTCTCTTGGCTAACTCTTGTTTCTTTCGACCCCGAGTGGCTATTAGGTTTCCAAGGGCAGACGGGTCACTATATTTTTTTCTTCAACATACTCTCCTACAAACGAAGTGAGGGTAGCCAGACATGGCGATAGGTTGGACAGTGGCAGCTGGCTTTTCCAAAACTGATCACGCGGCGAAAATGATAGCCACAGAAACGGCACACATACATCGGTGCAGAACGCATTGGGAAACCACTGCAATATTTCCTCAAGAAAATTTCTTCCCATATCGATGACAATTTTAGTACCAGCTGCCAAGGTGTGACCAGGCACTTGGCAGAAATTGTGCGACTGAATCCAAATTTTTACTCAATTTAAGAAAATGATAAAATGATTGATACATGGAACGTATAGATAGGGCAAAAATGCACATTAAAACAAACATGTTCACCTAAATGCTCATTTTTAAAGAGTTTTTTTGGATTTTATCTGCTCTTTAGTAAGTAATAAATAATCAATAAGATGGAACTGGAACTTCAAATCCATGGAGTTAGTATTGAACAAGTGATGGAAATAAAGTACCTAGGGATTATTCTGTCCACTATGGAGACGTTGAAAAAGAAGTAAGCAATCAAAACAAACAAAAGTAAAATTGCTGGTTTTACAAAACACTTTTAATAATCAACTCTACAAAGTCTTTGTGTTGAATAAAACTTGGCAACTCTGTGAAAATTCTGAAATACGATGAAACAGAAAGTGCCATGTGCTCGGATTAACCTCCCAGTTGAATTAAATTAAATGCGGAAGTAAAACGATGTATTTCCTTATTTTTGTCCTTATTATAAGTGTCATTTACAATGACAGACTTTTCATTACCCTGTTGAGAGAAAACCGCTGAAGTTTTGACAAAATTCTGGAGATTTCCTTGTTCTTAAATAACGCAATATTACTTTTATCCGTCAGTGTCGTTGAAAAACAAATTGAAATTGTTTTGGTAATGCTTTCGAAGAAGCACTGGTATGAAAAACTAAAAAAATCAGAAGTATACAAGTGAATACTATAAATAGTTTGTTTTAAAATCAACATTTTTTACCAAACATCTGTGAATGACTTTAATGTGCTTATGTAAGACAAAAACAACCATTCAACCCATAAATTACGATTTGGTGTTCATTATTTTAGTCTGGACCAAGTGAAAAACAGCTCAATAAAAATGTTGTTCTAGTTTTTAACACACGACTATTGGAAATTAGCATTTGCAGCGTCTGTATTGAAGTTTATTTTATTTATGGCCGATATTAACCCTAATTTGAGTGACCAAATTCCAAAAATTTTTGGCAGGTATTGGAAAATATACTTCAAAAGAAAATTCGGTTTAATCATAAAAATTGCGAACATAAAATATGGTTTCATCAATTAATATGTTCAAATAATGGTTTTATTTGAATTACGATACAAAAGGTACTCCCTCGATCAACTAGGCAAGATGCCCTTACTCCCAGAATTAATTTTTAAATTTTTTTTACATTCTATGTGAATAAATATATCGCTCAGCACAATTTTAGCTTGTCAGCTTTCCCTTCAATCTCCTACCTCCAAAAATATCAATTTTTTGTTTTTATTTTGTTTTAAGTGGGGTAAAATCAATCATTTAAAAATTTCAAAAGATTCGCATATATCAGGATTTTAGCAGGGGTTAGTTATCTAGAACACGCCGCCCTTTCTTTATCAAATTCAATACTATGTCGCTACTTACTCTGTTAATATTTCAAGTTCTAACTGAAATTCACAGAAACCGTGCCCATTTAATAAAGTAGTGTGGTTTCCACGTTCAAAATACGTGAATCTGTCACTACCTACGAACAAATCGCTGTAGATTACGTCTTTCAGATAAAAATTGCCTTAGTTATACTTATTACAATATTTTACCAAAAAGTATTGAACAGCTAAGCTGTAATACTTTCGATCCAGTTATAAAAAAATATCTTCAAAAGCATTGTTTTTACTGCTCAGAAGAATATATGACTACTCTACTCTATACAAAAGGGCTTTCAATAATAATTAAAAAAACAGATTCTATGTACGCACTTTACATTATAGACCATAATGATTCTTTTAATGACCAATTTTAAATTCTCCATATCCAAAATATCTTTATTAGAATCTATGGAAATTCATCAATTAAAAAATAAATATATAATTCTGAATGTCAAATTTGAGACAAACAGGTATCCCTTTCTCAACTTATTCAGTTAAAGACTTTTAAGTGTCGTAGCATAGTAAAAATACATCACTTGAGAAAATCACTCCACCGGAACAACTGTAGTGAAAATAAATTATAATAAATTTTTGGAAAGTGCAGGAAATAAAAGTTTTTAGGAGTGTATTCTTAGATAAAACGAACTTCCATCAAGTAACAGTCGAATCCATTCACTTATAACAATATTAGCATAAATGTTTTTGTTTCCACTCCATTTATTGTTGTTATTATTTTCAGAAAATGAAGACAGACGACAAAAATACAACGCCAAAACTGCGGATTGCTGTCATCGGCAAATCTAACGTTGGAAAGTCAGGTAAGCAGTCAATAAGAATTTAAAATTATTAATTAAAGTAAATTGTCATTGATTGATTGTTGGCTCTCTCTAGAGAATTTTTTTTATGGAGAGACTTTAGAAAATTATTTTTGTCTCTAGAAAATTCTAGAGAGAACATTTGTATCTTTAGAGAAAGAATATATGAAGAGACAGAGGCAGAAAAAACTTACACATCCAGGTAATAAGGGTGGTAAACATTAAACACTATGATGTAAATGATTTCTCCAACTGGTTATTCAGAGTAAAATTATTACTAAAACAAGCTGATGTCTTAGTTGTACTATCATAAGATAAATCTGCAGATGATGCCGCTCTAGTAATTAGTATAGTATATTGTTAAATAAAGATGTAAACATCTACCAGAAGCACAAATCACAGCTGTTGGACGTAGTATGTTAACGCAGAGAAAAATGGGTCATTCTGCAAAGTATCCTGTATAACTGGTATTTGTGAAATCTGTGTAAATGGAAAATAATCATGTTTTAAAATGGCTTCTATATTGGATGTTACACATCATTTTATTGGAGATTGTTTGGAAAAAGAGCATTGCTTTAAAATATGTACCATTACATTTTTACATATTTTTTAGTTTCTTTCCCAAAAAGCATGTCTAGATATAGTCCTTTAGGAAAGCCTCAACATTGCATTTAGCAATAAACTCAAAAATTATCACCAAATTGAACCTACTTGGACAATAATTAGTTTTTTTAATGTACAAAATTCTCTACCAAAATGATAACTAGATAAGAAAATGTTAATGCTCAAGACAGAAAATAACTTTATTATTCAATTTTACACCTATCTTATTCATACAGAATGTAATTTTTTATACGATGTAATTGATGGTGTTGTTATTCATAGTTTATAAATAGGAACTTTTTCATTTATCAATTATCTGCTCCAGATAAGCATTATCAAACTTTTCACTACAATAACCGAAGCTAAACACATAATGAGATCATTTTCTGTAAAATGTACGATGATAACACCCACGCAAGCAGACATATCACTTGTTCGATTAGAAGAGTCGAGAAAAAAATTAAATTTCAAAGTTTTTAGACGGGTTTTTCGTTAAAAAACAAATAAAAAATCTATTGGATACGCTTTTAACGTTTGTTTTGACTGATTCAAGGCATCGTTTTGAGAAAACTAAGCTTATATATATTGTAATGTATTGTTTTAAAAAACGAGATAAATAAACACTTTTTGTGAACCAAACAGATGTTTTAAACTGCTCAAATAAGTTACTGTTGAATAATAAGGTCATATATCAGCGAATAAAGAAACAAACTATATTATTCAGTATAAAAACAAAAATTGCATTATAAATTGTTTTCAAGTTTAAAATAACAATTGCCTGGTATTTAGACGTACAGGGTGTTTCAAAAAGGTATCTTTTTCTTCTTCTTAGTCGTTAACCTGATGCAGGTATCGTGATATCATAAAGCTATTAGCTAAATTTCGCAATGTTCCTCCACGTTTTTCTATCTTCTGCCATTCTAGCACATTCTGACAATGGAGCGCCAATGGTAGCAACAATATGGCCCGTGTATCGTGTGGGAGATCTACCTCTATTTCTTTTGCCGTCTACTTTTCCCTGGATGGTAAGTTAGTAATCTAAATAGTTCACTTGTTGAATAAAAGCATTCTGTTTCTACATTTTACAATTTGAAGCAAGTATTGCCTTCACACACGTTCTGAATGCCATTTAATATCTGGGAAATCAGGAAGATCTTGTTCGCTCGGCCCAACATATTTGGTAGTAACATTATAGCCATCAATTACTAGACAATAGCTTTCTTCCTACTCAAGTAAAAGTAAAACAAACAGTTGATGACTTCATTTTGGACGAAGAAAGGCAATTTTTGAATCCTCCAATCAATTTAGTTTTATGCTTAAATACTTCACTCAAAGATTTTCTGCAAATGCCTTTGATTATTATTGTTTGATGGTAAAATTGAGGCTATTAAGTTGACCATGAAAAAATTGTAGTTTTTATCATGCTGCTGTCAAGTCACTAAATCTTCTATAAATATGATATTAAATGAAAAGCGAATGCGCTGAAAAATCAAATTTTCTGACGAAATTGATTTGCAGCTTCAATTATTCTAATCCTCAATTGTTGTTCGTTCTCTATTGTTACAAAATGCACTTTCTCTTTCATAAACCCCCAAAAGCAATAGTCCATGGGGTTAAGACCTGGACTTCTGGGTGGCCAAGAATGCGGTGGAGCGCCATCTTGTAAAACCCACATATTTTGAGCAACAAACTGCAAATAATTATCACCATTTAAATTGTTAGGAAGACATACTGGGCCTATTAGATTGTTATCCACAATTTCTTCCCAAAAATTAACTTTGAAAGTCCTTTGGTCATGAGTCGTTTTATTGACGTGAGGATTTTCGTCGGCCCAAATGTGCTCGTTATGATGGTTTGTTATTCCTTTCCTATTGAAGGTAATCTCGTCGGTAAAACAAAATATTTATTACTATTTATAACTGGGAATAAGCCACAATTAAAGATAAAAATACGTTTATTGACGTTTCAATTTCCAATTCGGGTATTTGAAACGTCAATAAACGTATTTTTATCTTTAATTTTGGCTTATTCCCAGTTATAAATAGTAATTAATTTACAATGCCACAAGAAAATAGCTTCAGAACAAAATATTTCTAATAAAATTAACATTTCGACTGTTTTTCATTAACAACCAATTGCAAAATCCAATCCTTTTTAGAATAATCTTCAACCAATAACTCTTGAACCGTTATTAAGTGATAGGGTTTAAGCAGCTGATCCTTCAAACGCCTCAAAACCCTTACGTGAGGAACATTTAGTTGAGCAGCTATTACCTTGGACTTGTGCCAGGGACTTCTTCAATGATTTCTAAAATGTCTTCATCAGTTGCATCCATTATTTGACGACCACTATTGCCAGCAACTTGCGGTTGGAATGTACCCGTTTCCCGTCAACGACGACAAAAGTTTGGGGGAATTTGGGCTGCACACCCCGCTTAGAATTTTTCTGTGCGCTTAGATTTTGTTGTTTTTTTTTTGTATGAAAACAGCTTTCAGAACAAGAAAGTAATTTTATTACAAAATGTCAAGTAGTGTAGGAGATAATGCAAAAAAACAATTTTATTTTGTAACTTCAAAGGGTTGTAACTTTTTTTATGTACACTTTTGTACTGAGGTAAGTTGGATTCAATCAATTCATTTTTATCCCGGAAAGCATGATTTAATTTATGACATACTTTTTTTAAACACCCTGTACATTATGTTCTTTAAAGTTTATTACATGTTATCATATTTGTACGTGGTCACATTACAACCAACTGTTAACGATTCCCTGTCAATAATTCTAAAATTTAATTAACAGTAAAATTTTTTGTAGTGTCAATTGTGTTTTGTTGAAAATTTAATTGCAAAAATTTTTTGTCTTCACAAAATTTTTCTAAATCTTTTTTGGTGGATTTGATAAAGTTGCTGTGCTACGCAATGCTCGTGCACATTCCAACACATTCCTTTTCCTTCAAAATAAACATTGAGATCACGGCTTTTGCAAGGTATGATCGAAACATTTTTTAAGTACTACTGAAATCACTTTTTACAAGCCTCATGATTTATGAAAAACAAACATAAGGTGCGAAAATCTCTGCTATGGCAATAGTAAAACATGTGGTTACTGTTACCCAAAATAACAGATGAATAATCAAGTAATGTTGGTGGTGCGAAGTTGATTTTGTAGAGTAAATACATAAAGTATTTATTTTTAGAGTCAAAATGTTAAAATTAGATAGGGAAGATAAGTAACTTATCTTAGAGAATGATTCTTGATAACTACAAGTACGAACATACGAAATAGACATTTTTACTTTAAACACATCTTTATAATTGTTATAAAGATCTTTACTTTTTGTTATATTAAATGCTAGTTTTAGATTTATTTATATTAAATTAAGTTTTTTAGAAAAAAATATCACAGCCCAAAACTCTAGCCATCGAATTTTTGTACAAATTATAGCAAATAATATATTTATTAGTAAGAAACAAAAATATTTTCTTAGACATTAGAATTTTTCCTTAATTTGTATTTTCTAGAGTATTACTTTGTTTATTTTTCCCGGCGAATCGAGTGATTTATCGTCGATTTGAAAGATTTAGGATAAAAATTGTCACCGGCCTTGATACATCGGCGCGCCTATCAATTCCAACATTGCAACGACCAACCACCAATAACAATTTGTTTGTCGTGGTTGTGGAGTACACGTAAAGTATCCGAGTCGACCCTAACCTCATTTCACTTTCACAAAATTGGGTCACCTGTATTCCAATCCACTTGAACCCGGTGGCGAATTAAAAACACACCGACGGACGACGACGGGCGACATTGTCCTTTGCACAAACCGTAAGGTATACATTCCAATTAGTCTGATTTTGTAAAGTAGGCTAATGACGAAACGTCCCTTTGAAAATAATTCGATTAGTTTCAGGTCACGGGTAAACGTCGCCTTGGTTTATGTACTAGCACACGTGATATTTAATGCGACAATATATTTCATGGTTGAAAACATTTGTCAAATTATATAAATGCAATGTGAAGCTGCCACGATAAAAATACGTATGCACTCTGATTTATTATCAAAAGCAATACAAAGACAAATAAGCCATCTTTTGAGCGATTAATGAGATATTAAAATAAATCACCAAAACCTTTAACATCTAGGATATGATAATAATGGAATTCTGTATATAGACAAATCGTTTCATGACATTATACGGCTCTTATAATATGGACTTCTGACAATTGGAAGCGGCTATATTTAGAAGCGGTTTATCTGTCAAATCAAACTACTAATACAGGTATGGCAAGAACGCGCGTTACCAGAAGATTGGAATACTGGAATTATATGCCCCATACACAAAAAAGGAAACGTTCTTGAATGTTCCAACTTTAGAGGGATTTCCCTTCTTAATATAGCATACAAAATTGTGTCCCTGATACTTAACGAACGACTGTCACGGTATACTGACAATATAATAGGATCCTACCAAAGAGGCTTCTTGAAAAACAAATCTATCATTGATCACATATTATCCATCAGACAAATATTAGAAAAAACGACGGAGTACGACATAGACTGCCATTACATCTTCGTAGACTTTAAGGCAACTCTATTTCTTTTTCACATTCTGTGTCCAAACATTGTTTCTTGTTTTTCCTTTTACTCTTTGTTCTGATCTGCTTTTTCGATTGGAAGATAAAACAGATTTTTTTCTTTTCTTTTTCGTATATTGTAAACTGTTTTCCTCGGCAATTTAAGTGCAGATGCTGCCTTCTAAAGCAAAATTAAACACAGGACAATATTAGTAAGAAAAGTTAAAATTCTGGTCAAAAAATATGTGTAAATGATTGAATACCACCATATAAGCCATCTGTTTGGAACAGCAGTCTCGAAAATATTGTATTGATGATTGCTAGTTTTTGAAAAAGAAAGAAGCCAATAATTAATGCCAAAAAAATAACTCCCTTTTTATTTCCTTCTGAAACTTCTGGTATTCCATTAATTATACAATTTAACTTGGTACTTTACAAGACAAAATTTTAACAAACATTTTTCTTTGCAGCTCTTACCGTTAGATACTTGACGAAAAGGTTCATTGGAGAATACAGGAGTAATACAGGTAATTAATTTATTTAAATAAACTAATCTGATATGTTATAGTTTGAGATTTTATTATTGCGATTAGTATCGATAAAAAGTTGGTCATAAAAATGAATGATTTTCTTTTAATATTTATTATATTATTCTTACTGTTATTGTCATTGCCATTGTCATTGTTATTGTCATTGTCATTGTCATTGTCATTGTCATTGTCATTGTCATTGTCATTGTCATTGTCATTGTCATTGTCATTGTCATTGTCATTGTCATTGTCATTGTTATTGTCTTTCTCATTGGTATTGACATTAAAATTGTCATATCATCATCAGCATTAATATTTTCCATCAAACTGTCTCGAACCGTTCTGTAAATATCCATAATTTTGATCGAATAAACTGTTTACCTTTTCAGGAATCTTTATACTTTTATGCTCTTTGATTTTCTTTAATTTCTTTCGACAATTTTAAACATTATTTCAGCACGTAAGCATAACTTTCAAATAAAGTGACTTTCTTATGCCAACAAAATTAATTCGAGTGTTAAAAGATACGCATTGATATTTTATCAACATTTAAAGTTTACCTGCCGAACGCTACCTGTCAAGAAGTTATTTAAGATAGTGCTGTATATTGTTGAAAATATTCCCAGCTGTAGTTTTCAGCTTTTAGTAAAGCTTAGACTGCAAAATGTCTAAAAATACCAGCGGATTATGGTTCGGTAATTTAATAAAGCGGTGTGGCACATGTATTGCGCATTCCGAAATTTTTGGCAACTGTAGTGAGTGTTATGTTAGTATAGTCTTTTGTTTCTTTTTGTAAAAATTGCAAAAAATCCTATATAACTTGATATTTTACTAATTTGTACTGTTTTCTGTTTGTAAAATTAATTAATGGACTATCCTAGATGAGATTTACTGCTATTAGCAGAAACTGCTCGTTGAAAGCCATAAATAGCATAAAACTTGATGTGTGACTTGATGTGTGAACCTTCTGTGTTGACTTATATGTCGGAATGTCCCCACTGTCTTGAATTGACGTTTCATATAATCTCCTGGTTTCTGTGTCCCACTTTAACGGACTCCAGGACTCTGTCATTATACCTAGTCCACTAATGGCTTCTAATAATTCGTGGTAAGTATCATATAATGTTTTCAGTGCCTTTGCTGCACTTCTTTTATCTCCGCAGCCAGAAGTATCCTGTCTTTTAATACAAATAGATTCATCCTTGGATTATCGTACCGATCTTGCAACATTTCCCAGGCAGCCCTGTAGTTTGCTTCTGTTGTGTTTAAATGTTGTATTATTCTACTTGCTTCTCCTCGGAGGTTTGTCTTCAGATACTGCATTTTTTCACATTTGATAAATGGTTATTCTCATGTATCAAGCGTTTAAAAATATCAGAGAATGTTACCTTTTCTCAAAACAGGGTAACTTTACTTGGGGTAATATTATTTTTTCTTTCTTGTGCTTTTCCGCCTCCAATCTCTTATTTTCTTTTATGATAGACCGCACCCTTCTTTTCATTATATAAAATCTTTCTATTTCTAGGTTCAAAACAATTTAATCTAGGCCGTAATTGCAACACTTAGGAAGTTCAGTTGGAAAATATCTTATTCGGCAATTTATTCAGTTGTAGGTAAATGGACTAATTATTAAAATATTACACGATATGTTTTAACAATGTTTCAATTATACACGGTGAACATATAAAATATTAAGACGTTACGAATAATGTGAGATTACAAATTAAGGGATTAATTTGTGATTGAATACCTAATTGTGGCAGAATCATAGTTGAAGCATTCCGAACATGCGACAGGCAAAACTATTAGTGAAAAGTGCATCAAAATGTTTTTAAATCTTAAGAAAATCGAAGAAGAGAAACTCATCAAATTAGTTAAATGAATATTTTACTAAATTCACTACAAAAATTACCATCTATATGAAAATGATTAATGCTCCACCTAAATTCTTTGTTTTTTTTAATAATATTAATGTATTATTCGCATATTTTGTTCACATTTCTTTCCCAGATTTTTCAAATAACATGAAAGAATCCAAAAATATGATTTTTCGCATTTTTTCCAAATTACTTACAAATTTTTACAAGTTTAAAATAAATTCGTAGAGTTGGCTAGCGATTTGCGGCTCCCGGCCAACTATCAGTATTTATTTTAGTTCTCTAATACAGAACCATTTGTAAATATGCGATATATTTTATACGGAGACGGACCCAACTATGATTTTAAATAAATAATGAATTATGTTAATCCCCTTTTTGACGTTAATGGCTTTATATTGGAGACGGTTGGTGCTCCAGACAAAATAGGTGTGATTTATTGGAATTTGTGATTATTTATATTATTATTTAGATTTTCTCGGTTTTAAAGTATTCCAAAGGGTTTTTTGGAGACAGTTAAACAACATTTACTACCTGTCATAAGTCATCACATCCACACTATTTGGAAAATATTCGTGTAAAAAATAAATTTTCAAAACGCACATTTTCAAAATAAAATTAAAACAACTATTTGGTGACATGTATTCCAAATACTATTTTACCTTGTTATCCATAATAAAGTAATTAAATGACATGTAGTACGTCATATAAATGATCAATGACGTCATAGTAATGTATTGTATTCATTTTTCATAGCAAAAAATACGTGTTGATAGGTACTTTTGTCCTCTTCAACGATAAGATGAAAACAAAATCTTTGTGATTTGAAATAGTTAGAATAAATAATGACAATTGTGACAGTTGAAAGTTATAAGTAAAGCTAACATAAATCGTGACGTCAACGTTGTCATATGAAACTTCACATACCAATAAAGTTAGATCAGTTAGCGTAAATATAATATATCTACAAATTTAACGAAAATTAATTTCAAAATTTTATTATTATGAATAAAACTATTTGGTTATACGCCAATGATGAAACAACTCGAAAACAAGCGTGTAAACAAAACAAGCGACTAATTTGAATCATGAATTCAAAATTATATATTACACTCAGGCTCATTTTGAACATAGGAATCCAGGAAGATGGTACCTGAATGTTTAAAATCCGAAATAGCTACAATGCTAAAAATCACATTGAAGGTTGCCATACTTTAGACGTGTTTCACGCAATATTACTCATTTGACAGTTCACTTATACCGCTCGAATAGTTCAGTGGCTTAATGTGTCCTTTGGCAGCTTTTTATTTTGTCAGGAAGTTTTCGCAGACTATCTATCTATATAAAAGGCTATAATGACAAGTCACACACTTTGTCCAGTAAACTTACGACGCCATTTGGAAAAGAATATAATTAATAATTAATTTTAATAATATGTTTAAGGTAGAATTTAATCATCGAGCAAAAAGACAATAGAGGGAATGTAAAGGTAGTCGGGGCAAACATATTGTTAGACAGGAAGTGCGATCTTTAGAGGCCACATTAAAACAAGGAAAGAGAGTCTCTCTCCTTGTTTGACATCAAATTTAGTTGGGTTATGTTATTGTTTGTCCCAAATGTCACATGAAATCTTATTTATATTGAAGTTTTTTAACAATTGTGGCGCATTTTAGAGTCTTATCATTATTAATTAATTAAAACTTTCTCGTCTAAGACACATTCTGAAAAATATTATATAGCTACTGTTGATAAGTATCGGAAAATTTAAATTTCGCGCATTCGCATTACCGGATATGTCCGCCATCAGAGGCCACTTTTTTTGTCTCCTTTTCATAAGGATTAGATTCCCTCTTTTGTCTTATTGCTCGATGAATTTAATACAACATAATTTGAAGCTTTAAGTTAGTTTATGTTTAAAATTCTAACGCCATCTGAACAAAGAAATCTGAACTACTGACATTTCAACCTATGAGTCATATCATATTTTGTTTTTGAAACGATACGTTTAATTTAATAATACAAAAAATGTTAATTACATATTATTATAATTATTAAGTAATATTATTAATATTTTTAAGGTACGATTTATTACAAAATAATTTATAGTTTTATGTTAGTTTAGATTTAAAATTCTAGCGTCACCTCGAAAGGAAATCTGAACAAATAAACTGACTGATACGATAAATTAAAATCATGTGACATATAAAATATAAAATATTTATTCGCAAAATAAAATACTGAATAAAAAGTTATCTGGGAAAATAAATTGTTTTTATTGTAGTTCGTTATTGTATTTTAGGTTATCGCAAAATCAAAAATATAACCTAAATATTTTTGTTTAGTGAAGGTTAGAGTCATGGATATCAAAAGATTTAATGAAATCGGAGAGTATGATCAGTATGATGTTTAATGTTTAAAAACTTAGTACGAGAATATTATATTTGACGCAGAATTAAACATTTTAATTTTTATAATGATAAAAACTCTTTTAAAGATTGAGATTAAGTAAACCGACAGTTATTCTGATTAAATATTTTAGTACTCGGTAATCCCAAAAAATTACAGGTTATGCAGGAGTAACTAATTTTGTTTTTTCAAAAAATGTGGCCACTGTACCAAACTAGATGGTACAGTGGCCACAAAGGTAAGGTCATTACTTGCAATTCTTATATTTTTATTTATAATATTCATAAAAAAAGAAAAGTAGTATTAATCTTTAACAAATATTATAATATGATAAATCCGCTTTAAAGTAAACAAATTTGCTTTTCGTTGTGTTGCTCCAGCACTTTTTGGTTGGGTTAAAATGAGTTCAACATCTTCTTTTGTAGTTGTAGCAGGATCTGTAACTGTAGTAAATTAAAACTGTATTCCCTGACGCCTTAGAAAATTTTACATTGTATTCTTAACCAGAAGAAAAAACTTCTGTAATTTGTGCAACATAAAATTTTAAAGTTTTGTTTGTTTGAAACCTCACGAGAAAAAATGAATTCACTTCTACAATTCGTGAGGATATGTCTTCGTTAGAAATTTCATCTACTTCTGAAAATAGATTAATATCGTCGGAATCCACAACATCAGACAATTCAATGTCACTGTTACTGTCATCACTGGGTATGC